ATGCGTTTTCACGGCGTTGTTAAAGCTTTGTCAGCCAGATACAAAACAAGAGCAGTGGGATCATATTTGAACAGCAATACTTCCAATGTATTTGTTGCACTTGGAGCATTTAGTGGAAAAAATGGAAAAGAAAATTACACCAGAACTTATTCAGTTGTTTCATTTAAATTTTGAAGAAATTTTTTCAGTGTGTATATTTTTTTTTACATTTATAATAAAATCAAAGAAAATCTAACAATACATCTGATCCGATAAAATTGAAAAAAATGAGTTTAATCATAAAACTATTAATAATTTAGTACTAATTTATTGAAATAGAACATTTTTAATTTTTAAGAATATTTCTTGGCATGATTAGAAGTCTTTTCATCAGGTAACTTGAATCTTTAAACAAAAATGTTTTACATTCCTTCTGAATATATATCAATGAGTATAGAACGCATTGTGAACGTATCTTGAACGCAGCCAGTGCAGTGAGAACGCCGTGAACACGAGATGAAAACTCCGCGGAAGCGCGGTCGATAAGCCATAGATCTCCGTGGGAACGCAGTAGAACGCCGTGAGATCGCCGTAGAATCGAGTCCGTTGCCATAGGGACGGCGTGACATTGCTTATCTGTGAAAATTTTACAGAAATTTGTGCAATTTTCCTGCGATTCCACGGCAATTTTAAAAACTTAACAACCCAGTTAGGACTCCGTGTAAATCCAGCTTGGTGTGACAGGGTCTTAAGCGAGAGGTACATAGTATAAAAGCAATTGCCTTACTCAATTGCAAACTATATTATCAAAAGTAATATGAAATCAACTCATTTGTCAATAGCCTGCATCGGTTAAGAATTTAATTGATCGTATTTGCAAAATAATATTGTATACCAAAGAGGAAGGTAGACATGATAGATAACTTTTCAATCATCAGCTTTTCTCACGGATGTACGTAGCAATAAACCATTTCCACCTACATGTTGGACTTGAATTTTTCAGTTTACACAAGAGCATGTCCTATGCTCGAAAAAGTTTAAAATGAGGAAAGTTATTGACAAACAAGTTAATGAAACAAGAACATCAACGATCTCGTTTAGAGTCGTCATTTAACAAATCCTATTGTCGATACAATAACCTTTGCAATTGACAGCAAATAAAAACTATCATTAGTCACATTGTGATGGACGTTTTCCATACTATTTTAATTCCATTATTTACACAATGAATTTTTCACGGATTTTCCTTTTCCCGATCATGATAAAGGGCACACGGTGGGTTTGACCGATGGGCAGATGATGTTCACTCCTCTATGGCACCTGATCCCACCCCTGATGTTTTATAGAGGTCTGTATTTAATCTGGTCTTCATTTTTACTATTTGAGCTTATACACTGTTAGATATTTCTATTCATTTCTGCAAAAAATATTATGTTTTATTTTTGCAATTTTTTTTCGGATGTAACATTTTTCAATCTATAGCAAAAATTCCACCTTTGCTTCAAAAACATATACGGACTAAAAAAGAAGAGCTAACAATTGAAAAAAAGTTTATCTATTACTTACCCGCGCAATGGCATTCAGAAGGCTGTATTGGTCGTGATAGGAGTTAAGTCGAATGAAGCTCCTAGCGATTGTGGAGAATGTTCCCACAGAAACCTGGGCGTCATATGGTCCGATATTCAAAAATGTGACAAACTTGGACACAAAATTCTTCTGAAGATCGAAGTTATCAGATCCCTCACTTCCAGAGGAATCCAGTAGAAACAGAATGTCTGCTGGCGCCGCTTGACATGCTGAAAATCTTTTAGATTTTAGGGTCGACTATTTGATTCGGTAAGGAATAAAATGACTTTTTTTTCCAGAGTGGTTAATATTTTTTTCATAAAATTATATTATATGCATATTACTTTTATAAAATAACATATATACCTTCAATTTCAAGATGATGAGGCCATGTTTAAAATGGCGTTTGTGTGCATTAATTCTCCAGACTCGGAGTAAAAAAAATAGTCTGTAGGTAGAATGCTGTTTTTTTTCTTTCTAGAAAATTTCAGCATATATCTTAACTGGATGAGAAAATTCAAGGGTAAAAAATTTTTACTAGAGGACAGAGGTTAAACAAATGTTAACTTTTTGTGTTGCTGGAGATTCTTCCTAAAATTGACCTGTGTCATCAAGACATCAATATATAAATCAGATAAAAGTTAACAATTCTACTCGACAGTGACTACTATGAATGACGATGGTACAAACCTTGTGATCGACGAGGCAACGTATGCGTATAACACTGCTGAATAATACCCAGAATGGTTATTATTAGAAATATTATTCCACTTATTCCGATCATAGTCTCCTCTGTTTATCACCAATTTAAAGGTCAGTTTATGATAAGAATATAGGTTAATATAAGGCCATGATAATTGTGAACCTTTCTAAAAATTTATTTTATTCCTGTACATTTTAAGAAGACTTTGCACAACTGTAGGTGTATGTAACATGTAGAAATGATTATAAATCTGTTGCGGTGGCGGGTTTTTAAAAAAAAACATATTAAACGTTTGGAAATACATTTATCTAAGGTATTGGATCCAAACTATATTATATAATTTGATGAAGTATTGTGATTTGATTCAATGACAATTTTCCATTCTTTTTTATTTTCATATTAGCTATCAACAGATATTGGACAAAGACATTGGCATTGAAAGTTACTCATGAAAACTAAAAGAAAAAACATAATAAAAATGGAAAGTGTTGTTCTTTGATAAACAATCGATTTCAAACTTAATTTTTTTTTAGTTTAATATATAAAGAATAAATTCAATTTTCTTTTCTGGAAATATTATATCATTTTTTTTCAACGAAGATAGAAAAGTGTTCAAGAGGAAGTCAAACGAAAAATCGATCACTTTTAGGTCAAGGTTTTAATCAATATCATAGGCAAACATTGACTTTTCACGAGGTCCGTGAGAGCTTCATCTTTGCGAATATTTCTTGTCGCGAACCGGTCCTTAACGTCACTCTTTCTATAAACAACAGATTCTATAAAGGCTTGATCGCGAAAACTAATCGTCGCAAAATAGTTTATCCCCCAGTAAACCGAAAAATAAAGCCGTCGCGAATAAAAGTTGGTTATGCCATGAAATATATGTAGATAACGAATAGTATTCAAGCTCAAAGTCCAATAAATAATACAAAATTGAAGCAGAGCAAACATCCAAAACATCAGAGGTGGGATCAGGTGCCATGTAGGAGTGAACATCCACTTCTGACCGGTCCCACCCGCTGTGTGCTCCTTGTCATGAACCAATCAATTCAAATTAAAGTATAGAAAAAGAAATTTCGGTAGTGCGCTTGTTCCATGATTGGAAGGTGTTCGGTTCAAACCCTGGCCTTCAAAATTTCAAACCCTTCACCGGTGTATGATCTATGATAATAGTGTATCTTCGTTTGTATTTGTAAATATTCGCCAATTAAAAGGCATAGTATATTGTACATGATAAGTATTTTTAATTTCTTTCTTTCAACTTTCATTACTGGAAAATTCCTCTCCAGAATCAATTTTGTTTCATATGAAACACACATTGGGCTATTATGATAATAAATACTGTACATATTAGTACTTTAAAGTGCAATGAAAAGTTTTGAACATGTATTTGAAAGTTCAAGTTCATTTATTTCAATAATAGCTACATGAGGTCGAGTATATAAATAAGATGAAAAAAAAATGAATATATGATACATTTACAAGAGCATAAATGAAAGTCTTATACATATGTACAAGGTAAAACAATAAACATACAACGAGAAAAGAAAAGAATGGGATGGTCATATTTTAATTATGGAGGACAGACAGAGCAGAAATAATGTCAAACTTCTTAAATCAATTACAATTTTATAAATGTTGTTGAACATGTTAAAAGAAAGTAATTTAAAAAGAATTAAGTCTGCTTCCAAAATATTTTATTTAAGACAATGTAATTACACAGGTAAATGCATTCTACTGTTTTTCTTTTTCCATCCGAGACTTCATCTTTGTTTCAGCAAAATGTTTCAAGAATGTCATGGTAGATCTATAGGATTCCTAAAAAAAATGATTTTACATACGAGTCTGGTGCTTTTAGCTTATCATGTCTCGATTTTAATGATTCAGAAAGGATTAGGACGCCTTTACCTTGTTAAGAAAGTCCACATCTTCCTTTTCGTAGTCAAAGACCGTTGTCCCTACATAATGAGTATTGATGCCAACTGTTCTAGACACATCTGCTGACTGACGGAATACAAAATCGTTAGCCAAGATAGTAAATACATGTATTAAAAATATCATTAAGGTTTTGACAACAGTAATTTTTTTGTAAAATCAATTTTAAATTAGCCCAAACTGTGTAAATGATTGAGAGTTGCAGTCTTACCATATAAATATTTCTTTGCAGAATTCTGTAAGCACTCAAAAAAATACTTACACTGATTCCCACTTGCGTGACGTTACAAGATAGTCCTGTATAAATTGCCTGAACAAGATTCAGCAATGTCGTCACTTCCTCTCTTTTAAACCCGTGGCTGCAATTTACTATTGAAAATCCATTTTCCTCAATGAACATGACGACTTCACGAAAATTCAACTAAAATGCATTAAAAGTTGAGGATGATATGTGTGGACATCGCCTTGAAAAATAATGATTTTGCCAAAAATGGACCGAAGGCGTACCTTGCCATTTCCATCTTTATCCAAGCGATTAAGAACATCCTCCACAGTGACACCTTTTCCAAAAAGGCGTTCTTTTTCACTTTCAGTGAAACTTTTCTATGAAACACAAACATGTAGCTTCAGTAATAATCTCATAAAAGTGTACCTTATTTTAATCCATTTGTAAGTAAAGAATGAGTGACATAAAAAGAAATATTCACTTTATTATATTTCTTACAAAATCTGTAAATACACTCCAGCAAATATTCACTATAGTTAATTATAGTTTATCATAGTTCATAGTTTGACCAGTACTAGCCAGCAGGAACTGCTCACTGCTACATGGCACCTGATCCCACCTCTGATGTTTTGGAGGTGCGTGTTTGCATGTTTTGCTCCTGTTTTGTATTGTTTAAGGACCATTGTTTAATGGACTTTGGAGTTTGAATACTGCTCGTGATCCCCATATATTTCATACTTAAATACTTTTAGTTCTCCTAAAACCAGCTCATTCATTTATTAAATCTAATATCTACAATATTGATATAGAAATTGAGAGGTATTTAGTCTCTAGATCTAAACAAGAGGCCCATGGGCCACATCGCTCACCTGAGTACCTTAGGTGATGCAGTTCTTTACCAGATTCCCCCTCTTGCTATACCTATCATGCCCAACAACCCCCTTCCCTTTTTTATTTTAAAACTTTAGAATCTACACTACCCAAGGATGCTTCCACGTAAGTTGCAGCTTTCCTGGCCCTGTGGTTCTAGAGAAGAAGGTTTTTAAAGATTTGTTCTATATTTTTCTATGTAAAACTTGGAATTCCCTATTGTGGCCCCGCCCTACCCCCAGGGGTCATGATTTTTACAATTTAATATCTACACTACCAAAGGATGCTTCCACATAAGTATCAGCTTTCCTGGCCACGTGGTTCTTGAGAAGAAGATTTTTAAAGATTTGTTCTATATATATTTCTATGTTAAACTTGGATTCCCTATTGTGACCCGCCCTACCCCTGGGGGTCACTATTTTAACAATTTAATATCTACACTACCCAAGGATGCTCCCACATAAGTTTCAGCTTTCCTGGCCCAGTGGTTCTTGAGAAGAAGATTTTTAAAAATTTGTTCTATATGTTTCTATGTAAAACTTGGATTCCCTATTGTGGCCCCGCCCTTCCCGGGGGGTCATGATTTTAAAAATTTAATATCTACACTACCAAAGGATGCTTCCACATAAGTTTCAGCATTCCTGGCCCAGTGGTTCTTGAGAGGAAGATTTTTCAAGATTTGTTCTATATAATTCTATGTAAAACTTGGATTCCCCATTGTGGCCCCACCCTACCCCTGGGGGTCATGATTTTAATAATTTAATATCTTCACTACCCAAGGATGCTTCCACATAAGTTTCAGCTTCCCTGGCCCAGTGGTTTATAAGAAGAAGATTTTTAAAGCTTTGTTCTATATATTTCTATGTAAAACTTGGATTCCCTATTGTGGCCCGCCCTACCCCCGGGGGTCATGATTTTAACAATTTAATATCTACACCACCCAAGGATGCTTCCACATAAGTTTCAGCTTTCCTGGCCCACTGGTTCTTGAGAAGAAGAGTTTAAAGATTTTTCTATAGATATTTCTATATAAAACTTGGATTCCCTATTGTGGCCCCGCCCTACCTCCGGGGGTCATGATTTTAACAATTTAATATCTACACTTCCCAAAGATGCTTCCACATAAGTTTCAGCTTTCCTGGCACAGTGGTTCTTGAGAAGAAGATTTTTAAAGATTTGTTCTATATATTTCTATGTAAAACTTGGATTCCCTATTGTGGCCCCGCCCTACCCCCGGGGGTCATGATTTTAACAATTTAATATCTACACTATCCAAGGATGCTTCCACATAAGTTTCAGCTTTCCTGGCCCAGTGGTTCTTGAGAAGAAGATTTTTTAGTGACCCCACCCTATTTTTGTCTTTTCTTGATTATCTCCCCTTGTAAGGGGACTTGGCCCTTCATTTTAACAATTTAAACTCCCCTTTACCCAAGGATGCTTTGTACCAAGTTTGGTCAAAATTGGCCCAGTGGTTCTGAGAAGAAGTCGAAAATGTGAAAAGTTTACAGACGGACGGACGGACAGACAGACAGACGGACGGACAGACAGACGGACGGACGACGGACAAAATGTGATCAGAAAAGCTCACTTGAGCCTTCGGCTCAGGTGAGCTAAAAAAGTGGAGGATTATTTTCTTTAACTATCAGACATTTGCAAGTGAGAAATTGAGAAACTTGTATATCTTACACAATGTTTTTCAGTCCAACTCATAGAAAAAATGCTATGATAAACTATTGTTACAGATTTTTTTAACTGTAACAAAGTTTTCATACATTAGTATCTCTGTGTTTTTTTATATACTGTTGTGAGATGTGTATTGTTTTATTATGTATATAATTAGTAACATTAAGTTTCTTGAACATTCCAGAGTGGTCAACATGTTTGGTCATTTTATCTAGAACATTCTTAAATTTTGTGTATGTCCAGATTGTTCCAGTAATATCATGTTTTAACATTTTCTAGAATATTCTAGATTTATAATACTGTATAAATACCCTGTCAATTCAATGCATAGATATACAATAATTGTGAATACTTTGTCGTATAAGCACTATTGAGATATAACTGGGATATATTTTCACTGGGACATTGTGTGCAGCAACGGACACTCTGATGTATGTATTCTTAGATTCTTGCTAAGTTTGTACTTTATGTTTTATATACTTATTATATATTACTGTAAATAAATTATTGTTAAGTTTAAATTGTGTTATTGATCTTTGCTGGCATTTCGGGTAATTCTGACCCATAACAGAATTGGGGGCTCGTCCGGGATAAAGAATTTTTTGCACTTTTGCAGTTTATTGTCAGAATTTTGTTTATTGAACCGTTAAATTTGATTATAAGCCAGCAGAAATCAACATGGTGTTTTCGGTCACAGACTTTCTTAGTTCACCAAGTGTTCAGGTTTTTGATACGTTAAAGAAGGATGACTTGATCGCATTAGGTTTGCATTTTGGGTTAGATGTTAAATCCTCTCAGAGAAAGCAAGACATTAGAATTAAGGTTGCAAACAAACTAGTAGAAGAAAACGTCTTTGAAAAATATGATCTTCCAGAATATACAGTTAAATCAGAGTTAGGCTCTTTTAAAATGGCAGAATATCAGTTTCAATTAGAGTTAGAGAAAATGCGATTTGAAAGAGAAAAATTAGAAAGAGAAGATCGAATAAGAGAAAGAGAGGAGCGAGAAAGAGAGAGAGAAGAACGAGAGCGTGAACGAAAATTTGAATTAGACAAATTAGCAGCAGAAAGAGAAGAGCGTGCAATGAACTTTGAATTAGAGAAATTAAAATTACAAAACCATAAAGAACCGTCAGTTGTCAAAACTGAATTTGACGCAGCAAAAAATATCAGATTAGTTCCAAAATTTCAAGAAAAATCTGTAGACAAATATTTTCCCCAATTTGAAAAAGTCGCAGAGAATCTTAAATGGCCACAAAATGTTTGGTCAACGATGTTACAAAGTGTACTGGTTGGCAAAGCAGCTGAGGTGTACTCTGCACTAGGGGTAGCTGAGAGTTCAGACTATGAGAAGGTCAAGGCAGCAATATTAAAAGCATATGAATTAGTACCTGAAGCATATAGACAAAAATTCAGAAAGTATAGGAAGTTTGATAACCAAACATTTGTTGAATTTTCACGAGAGAAAGAAGATTTATTCGATCACTGGTTTAGATCTAAGAAACTTGATAAAACTTTTGCTAATTTGCGCCAAGTCATCCTGGTAGAAGAGTTTAAGGAATGTGTTCCTCAAGATTTGAAAACACATTTAGAAGATAAGAATGTGAAAACTCTTGAAGAGGCAGCAGTCATATCTGATACTTATGCTCTGTCTCATAAAAAGAATTTTGTATCAAGATCTCAGACTAGCAGTAATTCTACAAATTCAGACACATATAAAAAGAGTGGTTCAGGGTCTCAGTCTTTCACAAGTTCCCAGTCTCCATCCCAAGGTGGTTTTAAGTCCGGTCCAAGACGTGTTGAAGGATCGTCTGGAATAGGGTCGCTTCCTACTTGTAGTTATTGTAAGAAAAAGGGTCATCTGATCAGTGAATGCTTTAAACTTAAGAGAAAAAATGATTTTGATAAAACTCAACCACATGCTTGTGCGGCAGTTAGAGGTGATAGAGAAGCCTTAGTTTCGATTTTTTCTGACACTCCTGATGTCCAGGGTTCACAGTCCAGTTCTATTGATTCTATGGAGGATTATAAGCCCTTTATGTCTCAGGGATTTGTTTCACTCGGTGACTCTAGCGAAATAAAACCTGTCCAGATTTTGAGAGATACTGGTGCTGCACAGACGTTATTGTTAGAGGGTGTGCTTCCTTTGTCTGAGCAGACTTCTACTGGTGGGTCAGTTTTATTACAGGGTGTGGAGCTAGGCGTCATTGATGTTCCCCTGCATAGAATTAGTTTAAAGTCAGATTTAGTTACTGGACCTGTTATCGTAGGTGTTCGACCTACTCTTCCTGTTCCAGGCATTTCTTTGTTGCTAGGCAACGATTTAGCTGGTGGAAAAGTTGTACCAGATCCTATAGTTTGTGAGAAAATCACTCCAGATGTCATGTGCGATGATGAAGATGATGACATTTATCCAGCCTGTGCTGTTACTAGAGCGATGGCCAGAAGACGAGAAATGGAGGCAGACCATACTCAAGCCTTTGACGAGACGAATTCCTCTGTTGATATTGATTTGAATGACACTTTCTTATCTGACCTTGATGGCACTCAAACAAGCATGGAACCACACAATATGAAGAAGCAAGAGAAGAAAGAACTTTTACCAAAATTTGGTGGTGAGGATGATGAGTTGCATCCACTAGTTAGCCAAGGCAAGGACATCCTCAGCCGAGAACGTTTACTCTCTGAACAACATAAAGACCCAGATATCATTCAACTTAGTAAGAGGGCACTTCCACCAGAAGAGGCTATTAAAGTTGGAGAATGCTTCTATATGAAAGATGGCATCCTTATGCGAAAATGGCGACCACCTGACGCTTCTCCAGATGAAGTGTGGCGTGTTGTTCACCAGATAGTGGTCCCAGCTGCTTATCATCGAGATGTCATGAGTTTAGCCCACGATACACCTATGGCTGGTCATTTAGGTATCAATAAGACTTATAATAGGATTTTGAGTCATTTTTATTGGCCTAAGCTAAGAAAGGATGTTTCAAAGTTTTGCAAGTCATGCCATGTCTGTCAGATGGTAGGTAAACCAAATCAGAAGATACCATCTGCTCCTCTCCAACCCATTCCAGTTTTTAAAGAACCGTTTAGTCGAGTGTTGGTGGATTGTGTAGGACCTTTGCCAAGGACCAGATCAGGAAACCAGTATTTACTTACCATTATGTGTACATCCACTCGATTTCCTGAAGCCATACCTCTTAGGAATATAAAGGCAAAGAGCATAGTTAAGGCCCTAACCAAGTTTTTCAGTTTTGTAGGAGCACCCAAGGCAATTCAGTCGGATCAAGGCTCAAATTTTATGTCGGGGTTGTTCCAGCAAGTCATGCATGAGTTGGGTATTAGACAGTATAGATCAACTGCTTATCATCCTGAATCCCAAGGGGCGCTAGAACGTTTTCACCAGACCTTAAAAACAATGCTGAAGACCTATTGTTACCAGTATGAGAAAGACTGGGATGAAGGGGTTCATCTTGTACTATTTGCTGCACGAGAGGCAGTCCAGGAGTCTCTTGGGTTTAGTCCTTTTGAATTGGTGTTCGGACATACAGTTAGAGGTCCTTTGAAATTGTTGAAGGAAAAGTGGCTGACTGAGACTAGTGATCTAAATCTTTTAGATTATGTGTCTGATTTCAAAGAAAAACTTTACAATGCTTGTAAATTAGCACAAGAAAATTTGAAGAGTTCTCAGATGAAAATGAAAATGTGGTATGACAAAGATGCCAGAAATAGGGTGTTTAAGCCAGGTGATAAGGTTCTTGTATTTTTACCTATTCCTGGTCATCCTTTACAGGCCAGATTTTATGGCCCTTATGAAATTGAAAGCAAGATCAGTGATGTAAACTATGTAGTTAAGACACCAGGTCGACGTAAAGAGAAACGGGTTTGTCACATTAACATGTTAAAAGAGTATTTTGAAAGGTGTGACCGAAATTCTGTAAAACCAGTTTCCACTTTAGCCAATGCTAAGACTGTTCAAAATTGTATTGAAAGTGATACGAGTGTAGAAATGAATGAGAAAGATTGTAATCAGAGTGTTCGTTTGAAAAACTCAGAAATTTTGGATGATTTTGATGCCAAACTTGGACATTTGAACATTCATCAAAAAGAACAAGTTAAAAACTTGATGAATGAGTATCATCAAATCTTTTCGGATGTTCCAAAGAAAACTAATGCAGCTTGTCATGATGTCATAGTGAGTGACGTTCTGCCTATCAAACAACATCCGTACCGTCTGAATCCAATAAAATTGCAGTACCTAAGAAGGGAAGTGCAGTACATGTTGGACAATGACATTGTTGAACCTAGTAAAAGTGATTGGAGCTCACCGTGTATTCTTGTACCAAAACAGGACAGTACCTACCGATTATGTACAGACTTTAGAAAGGTGAATTCTGTTACCAAAACTGATTCATATTCAATACCTAGAATCGATGACTGTATTGACAACATTGGAAACGCGAAATTTGTCAGTAAATTTGACCTGTTGAAAGGCTACTGGCAAGTGCCGTTAACAGAAAGAGCAAAAGAAATATCTGCTTTTGTTACACCAGATGGACTTTACCAGTATAAAGTAATGCCTTTTGGCATGAAAAACGCACCGGCTACATTCCAAAGGATGATTCACTCCCTTCTTCAAGACCTTGAGGGATGCGAGGCCTACATTGATGATGTCGTCATATACAGCGACACATGGGACGAACATCTCCGAATCATGCGTGCTTTATTTGACATTTTAGCTAAAGCAAACTTAACTGTGAATCTTGAGAAGAGCGAATTTTGTCATGCTTATGTAGAGTATTTAGGTCATAAAGTAGGTCAAGGTTATGTTACACCCATTATGGCTAAAGTGGAAGCTATTGCAAAGTTCCCGATTCCTACAAACAAGAAAGAATTAATGAGGTTTTTGGGCATGGCTGGGTTTTACAGAAAATTTTGTCCAAATTTTTCCTCAGTTGTTAGTCCACTTACAAATCTTTTACAAAAGAAGGTTAACTTTGAATGGACAAAGGACTGTGAAAAATCCTTTCATAAAATAAAATCTGTCCTTATGAGCAACCCAGTTCTGTCAACTCCAGATTTTTCTAAGCAATTTAAGCTTACTGTTGATGCTAGTGATGTTGGAATCGGGGCAGCTTTGTTTCAAGAACATAGTGATAATATAGATAGAGTTGTTTCTTATTTTTCAAAGAAACTTACAAAATGTCAACAAAACTATTCCACCATTGAAAAGGAATGCCTTGCTTTGTTGTTAGCTTTACAGCATTTTGATGTTTATTTGAATGTTACTTTGCATCCAATTCTTGTATATACGGATCACAGCCCCCTGACATTTTTGCATAAATTGTCAAACAAGAATCAAAGACTGACTAGATGGAGTTTGTTGTTACATGTACAAGAATACAACATAACAATTAAGCATATCAAAGGCAAAGATAATGTTATTGCAGACGCCTTGTCAAGAGTAACGTAAACATACTAGATTTTGTATTAATGTACAAAACTTTTATTTTAATAATATAAGTTTTCATTGACATTCAAACTTTTTTAAGGGGGGAGGTGTTGTGAGATGTGTATTGTTTTATTATGTATATAATTAGTAACATTAAGTTTCTTGAACATTCCAGAGTGGTCAACATGTTTGGTCATTTTATCTAGAACATTCTTAAATTTTGTGTATGTCCAGATTGTTCCAGTAATATCATGTTTTAACATTTTCTAGAATATTCTAGATTTATAATACTGTATAAATACCCTGTCAATTCAATGCATAGATATACAATAATTGTGAATACTTTGTCGTATAAGCACTATTGAGATATAACTGGGATATATTTTCACTGGGACATTGTGTGCAGCAACGGACACTCTGATGTATGTATTCTTAGATTCTTGCTAAGTTTGTACTTTATGTTTTATATACTTATTATATATTACTGTAAATAAATTATTGTTAAGTTTAAATTGTGTTATTGATCTTTGCTGGCATTTCGGGTAATTCTGACCCATAACAATACAAGTACCAGGTAATATTTTGGGAATTAGAAAGAGATTATGGAGAGGCTTTAAATTGCTTACGTCATTTAAGATAGCTGCCAGCTCATCCTTACTTATTGTCTCATCGCTGTTCTCGTCAAATTTCGATGAAAGCTTAAGAAATAGTAGTATACATTTATTTACCATTATAGTTTCTATAAAGATTACGAATTATTTCTTTTATATTTTAAAATTTCTTTCCACAAAGCCAAAAATTAAATAAATGAAAGATATAACGCCTTAAAAACATCATGCAGATTGATGGATTTAAAAAATTAAGAAAATATATTTTCACCTCTAAAAATTTATTAATGGCGTCTTTTACAAGCACATGTTCTTTTCTCAGCTTCATTTCTTTTTTCATTCTTTGTGTAGCTTGTCTGTTAACAAAAAATTCAGACCATTGAGACCACATTTTGAAAGTAAAGACTATTGAAATTTTACATAAGTAAACTCTGTGATAAAAATGATATATACCTGCCCATTTTTGTATCGGGGTACACTATTCGTCTGTTTTCTCTACTCTCGTACACGTCTCTGAAGCTCTGCTGTTCATTATCACTATACTGAAAGTCGTAATTAAAATCTTGATTTTTAAAAAATACTGAAAGTGCATTATAAAATCTTAGAATAAGAAATACTTTAATGCTCTATTTTTCATTTTTTTTTCTTGAGTCATTGGATCTTGTACATGTATATCATGAATTTTATACATGTACTAGTATATATTTTAATTTTTTATGTATATTTTAGCTCATTTGAGCTAAAAGCTCAAGTGAGCTTTCCTGATGACCCCGTTGTCTGTAAACTTTTCACATTTTCAATTTCTTCTAAAGAGCCACTTGGCTAATTTTCATCAAACTAAATACAAAGCATCCTTGGGTAAAGAGAAGTTTAAATTGTAGAAATGCTTATAGGACCAAGTCTCGTTCCAAGATGTGATAATCAAGAAAAGACAAAAATAGGCTGGGTCTTAACATTTTTTTTCTCAAGAACCACTGGGCCTGAAAAGCTGAAACTTACGTGAAAGCATCCTTGGGTTGTGTAAATTCTAAATAATTTAAATCATAACCCCTGGGGATAGGGCGGGGCCAAAATAGGGAATTCAACTTTTACATTGAAATATAAAGAAAAAACTTTAAATAACTTCTCCCAAAGAAAAACTGGGTCAAAGAAGCTGAAACTTGTGTGCAAGCATCCTAGGGTTAACCTTGTATAGATTCTAAATTGTTCAAATTATGACACCAGGGGTGGAGCGGGGCCACAATAGCGAATCCAAGTTTTACATTGAAATATATACTAGTGAAAAAAAACTTTAAAAATCTTCTCAAGAACCACTGGACCAGAAAAGATGAACTTAAATGGAAACATTCTGATGTCGAATAGATTCTGGATTTTTCAAATTATGACCCCAGGGGTCGAGCAGGGCCACAATAGGGAATCTAAGTTTTACATTGAAATAAATAGAAAAAATAAATCCTTGTAGATCTTCCCAAAAACCTCTGGGACAGAAAAGCTGTGTGATATAAAATCTCACCAATACAAAACCCAAAGTTTTTGAGGCTTTCAATTCATCCCGAGCAAACCTCTGTCTTTTGTCCATAATATAATTAATTTTCTCAATTGGTTGTAACCTTTTGAAAAATGTATCTTCTTTCTTCATTGATAACCACCACCCTTGTATAGAATATATAATATATCATAAATTAAAGGTCAAAACAAAAATTCTCTCTCTCTCTGTTTCATGGTATAAATGCCTTAATATCTTTTTAATTACACACCAATATTATTATTGTACAAATATTAAAGTTTACTATAAATTAATAATATTTTTGAAAAATACATTCAAGTAATTTATTTGCAAGGAGAGGTTACTCATTTTTTAGTTTCATTTCAAATGGGCTGAAATCTCAATATCATATGCTTTAATTTGAAGTTATTTGTAAAATGAAATTCGCTCATACCATCAAAACACGAAATGGGATAGTTAACCAGAATTCCTCCGTCTATATAGAGATTTTTTTGGCCGGATATTACATATTGAACGGGTTGCATCAATCCTATAATAGATCCACATACAAAGATTATATCAGCCATATTTAATAATATAATTAGTTAAAGCTAAATTTTGTGACTACAAATTGTTCGCCTATGAAAGTTAAAATTCTGAACCCTAGGTCTTTATGAAAGAGAAGTGTTTCTGACCTGGCAAGCTGGCTGACATGCGCATAGCCATTCTGAGAGGAACATTGGGAGTTGTTTTAAGGTGGAAGTACTCTTCCTCCATATTGTTTACATTCATCACCACGATACAAAGCTCCTTCCCAGTTTTTGTGTACAACTGTAGAAAATTCTTTATAAAATGAGTAAATCATAAACTATACTTTACCACTAGTTTAACAAAATACATTAATCAAAGCAAAATAATGTACAAGTGGAAATCTAAGCTGATTTTTTTCTCTTCAAAGGAAAATTATCTTATAAATAATTTGCCACTTTTAAATTGAATTTGAATTACAAAACATGATCTGGATTCCAAAAGATCGTAAAATTAATCCCAAAAAATCTCTGCATATGGTTCTAGGCCAAATGTCAATTCATGTCTTACAAAGAGTAAATGATATTAATTTTAAAAGAACAAAGGTAAGATGCATGTACTATCAAATCACATCAGGTGTTTTCATTAATATGTTGAGAACTGACATCTTTAAAGGTAGCATCTTTATTCCCAAGCTTTTCCGCAACAAGATCTCCAAAAAATTCAAATAATGTGTTCATTGGCTGCCATCCCAGATGGAACAACATATTTGGTATAAGACTTAATCGTCCTAATCTTGCATCTAAAAATAAAAAAGATATATAGTTATAGTTATTCATGTTATTATTAAGGTTCGTCTGATGTAAACAAAATTTAATATCTTATTTTAGTGAAAGGTTGTGACAATGATAGAAATGCAAGTATTTCTAATCTTTAAAAAAATCATTAGGTAATGTTGTTTTAGCATATTTCTTAATATAATAAAGAGCTCCAATTTCAATTTACAAATGTACATGTTTACCTTATCCAATGTAATCCTATGAAACAAGCTATTTTATTAACAGAATAATAATTTCATATTGATTGTTAGACCATTATGTACACTGATTTGTCCCTAAATTTTTTCCATTATTTCCTGATCATGACAAGGAACACAGGGCGGGTGTGGCAGTTCGGCAGGGGATGCTTAGTCCTCTATTGCACCTGATCCCATCTCTAATGTGGAGGTCCGTGTTTGCTCCGCTCCTTTTTTTTGTAATATTTAATGGACTTCTGAGCTCGAATACTGTTCGTTATCTCCACATATTCCATTGTTCAAGATTAAATTATACGATGTTTAGATAAAAAGGAGGTCTGGTCCGTATTTCTGAGTAGTCTTTTGTTAAATATGCCTCATCTATTTCACTTCTCAAGAGTATATCCTAAGGTATTATGAAGGGTTAGATACATGTATATAAAGAAACCATTTTTGTGCTTTAAAAAAATTATGAGCTTTTGCATTAATTATTGAACGAATCTCATATTTCTTGTGATGATACATACCATAGAACGTTCTGAAATCTTTCTCCAAAACTTCTTTTATTTTCGTGGAATTGTAACCAAGGGCTACCATGCAAGCAGTCATTGAACCAACACTTGTTCCAGCAAAGCGTTTAATTTGCTTTATCAGCCCTAGTTCTTCCAAGGCCTGAAATCAAAGCAATTGCTCATTTTGAACCATCCTCTTGCAAAATCCTACCTGTTTAAATGAGTGTAATTTTATTGCTCGATACTAGAATTATTCTTTTCTTCATGGAATAGCTGCAAATGAAAACAATATAAATGAACGAGACTTATTTTCATTTCAAACATTTTCAAATATCCTTTCTGCTTTCGTTTTTTTTTTTGTGTGTGTGTGTGGGTGTGTTAATTAATATTGAGGTATTGTATTGCAAAGGTGTTGGTTTGTTGACTTTAATATCAACGTAATACTTTTTATATGTCATAAATGTATATTTAAAACATGTTAGTCAGATGATATAAGACGTGTTTTTATACTAATTGTTAGACCGTTATTTACACACTAAAATATCATCGGATTTTCCTGTCATTTCCAGATCATGACAAGGAGCTAACAGCGGGTGTGACTGGTTGACAGGGGATGCTCACTCCTCCATGGCACCTGATCTCATCTCTGATGTTTAGGAGGTTCGTGTTTATTCTGTTCCTGATTGCTATTGTTTAATAGATTTTTGAGCTCGTTATCTCCTGTAACGTTTTTACAATGTACAAATGATTATCAATTGGGTTCGCTTAGGTTTTCTTCCTAAGAATCACGTTTACAATATAAAATCAAAACAAACTTCAATAGCTTCAATGGCACTAAAAAAAAATGAAATTTACTATATATACTTTTTCCTTGGTTCTATCTGAATAATGATTGTCAAACTAAACAATAACGAACTATAACAAAAGAATCACTAATAACTTATCAAACCAATGATCCAACCTTTTACAATATCCCTGTAGCTGCAGACTAAGTGGTTTGACTAACAGTCCGGTTGTTTTTCGACACAGTCTGCAACTACCTAAAACACACCCTAAAAATCATAAAGTCACAGGTATACACTAAGAAACACAAACACAAACACAATCTAAGTTACCAAGACACCATAGCTACTAACAGGACTATTTTTGTTAGACACAAGTTAAAGTCACCGAGACACCATAGCTAGTCACAAAGACACTAGGGAACTAGGTCCCTGGGCTGAGTGGTCTAATTAACAATTTTGTTGTTTCCCGACACAGCCGAGGTACCTCCCTAAGTCACCTAACCCCTACAAAGAGTTACACCAACAGTAAACGAAGCTGGATTGATCCCTGAATTTATACTATTTTGCCTCTGTTCGTTAAAGTGCTAATTGGTTAATAATTCTTAACATTTGGTTGGCTAAAATGTCAACTCTGATTGGGTGCACACAAAATGATTTAATTGGGTGATTCAAAACCATTTCAGTCCACTTTACTTATTCTGATTTATTACACTCCATATACATGTGTTTCATTGTTCCGATACTGCGGATTTCAATTATCATTTTTTCAAAAATCTTTTGCTCTGGAAATTGTTATTGAAAAGCTTGTTCATAATTTTTATCTATGTAAAACGAATCATTTTATGATATATATTAATGCACTAAATGTTTATACCTGGATAGCCCCCGGATAAGCCACACCTTTAGCTCCGCCTCCCTCAAACACAAGATTTTCAAAAGGAAACGGGTCCTCAAAATCTCTAAGGTCCAAAGATATTGGAAAATCCTCTTCTGATGTTTCTAATTAGGAACAAAGTCGTGTTTGGGAGAAAACGTCATAAGTAACAATCTGATTAAAATACAGATCTCTAATAGTGCAAATGCGCTTTGCGCTATGTAGAGATCTTTATTTTAATCAGATTGCATGGGTAACAACATATAAACTGAGAATAAAAAGCTTACCTGGTTCGTCAGAATCATTGTCAACGTCTCTGTTTAGAAGACCTACGATATAGTTGTGTGTTCTGGCATCTTTTTCGGTTGTCTCTTGCGAATCTGTTATCGGTTTGGAAGAAAAACTCCCTCCCATCAGTATTCCTTATAAAAATTATATATGTGATAGAAACGTGTATATACATGTATGTAAATCTGTAAATAAGCCGAAACTGATTCATCTTGAGATATTTGCTTCGAATTATGAAACCACGCATCCAAGTGACATAATGAAGTAGTTACAGTAAACTTTGCTTGGCGACATCTGATATTCAAAAAATGTTGACTGTGTAGAATTTGTGGGCGCAGAATTCACTGTTTTTCCGAAGCATCTAATAGCATTTATATATTGATTAATTGTATGCTGTTTAACGTCCCTCTCGAGAATTTTTCACTCATATGGAGACACCACCACTTGCCTGTGGAGAGCTACAAATTTTGTCCTATATTCGGCACTGAGGGCCATTGAGCAGTGAGGGATCTTTTTCGTGCCAGCACCTACTGCGACACGGGACCTCGATTTATAAGGTCTTATCCGAAGGACCGGTCTCCACGTCCCACAGTGTGATTCGAAACCGCACCGTAAGGATCGACTCCTTACTTCGCGACTCTAGAGCAGACGCTCTAACCACTGCGCCACGCGGGCGAATTAAATAAAGAGCGCATTCAGGTTATGGTAATATTTGATTTTTTCTTCTGTTTCACAATGACTTTTTTGAAATGAAAATTTTGAAAGATTGTGAGAAGATATACAGAATTCAACACAAAATTTTCATATTACTAGAAAAAGCCGTGTTCAATAAAACGCTAATGGTAAACGTGATGAATTTAATTTTTAGGGCCTGTAATATTTTGTCAAAATAGCAAAATTCTCATTTTCCAACAACATGCAAAAAATTATTAGTTTTGATTGAATAGTATTTGAAATATTCAAAAAGTTAGTGCTTTTTTTCTGGGACAACCCTCGTAATTTTTTGTTAAATCAAAAAGGTAGGTTATCTAGTGAAGAAACACAAAGAAAATAGACAGAATTATTTTTGAGTTGTTCATACCTTATTTCCTTTTTTGCTGGGATACAAGATAGATTCATATGAAGGAACGTTATAATGTTAAAAAAAAATTAGTGTTGAGAAGTTTATAACCCATTACCGGAAAAAGGTGTATATCCTGACAAATTTCATCAAATTTCATCAACAAAATTCTTATGGCCATTCAAACGTCTAACATATAGAACACGTGCGTCATTTCCTGTTTCATTGTCATACTGTGACTTAAAGGAAGGAAAAGTAAAAAAAGGAAGACAGATATCTTATTAAGAATAGTCTTTACCTCTAAGTTTATATCATGTAAAAAGGTGTATATTTTCCTTAAACATTAATACTTGTTTATATGCAACTCTGTACTTAATTTTTTTTTTTGAAATAAACAAAACAAATAATTAAGAAATAAAAAAAAAACCAAAATGTGATTTAAAACCCCCCCCAGATATTTTAAAATTTTACATACACAAACTATCGCTTAAAATTGTTCATTTTGAACGTACATTATACGTATT